GGCTCGTCCGGGCGCATCCCCCAGGTCAACGTGGCAGTCCACCAGTTCACCCAGGCCCAGGTGGTGGGCCAGGGTGACCGGCAGCAGCAGCCCCGCATTGGCCACCAGGCGGTGATCATCAAAGGCAACGTGGATGCGGTCGGGGTGCTCAAGTGGTAGCATCTTCTGGGTGCTCCTGGTCTCGGGTCGGTTTTCTGTTTCAAAAACCATTATCCCCGAACACGGGAGTACTTTCTTACCCCTTCAGTACGCCGACACAGTCATATCTTCGGTGGATTGGGGCTAAGGCCTACCTAAGGAGCCAACATGACTTCATCACCAGGAAACCTGTTTTCGGACACCCGCCATGCCGACGACTTCCCGGATACCATCAATACTGCGATACAGGACCTCGACGACCTCACCTTCCGACGCTACCGCCTGACGGTCATCCTCAACAACGAACTCCTCCAGTTGGAAACACCTAATCCCATACTCGTTGAATCCCACCGAGCACTGGCTTTCACCATTGAGCAGCACATACAACAAATCGACGTTGCCGCCCAGGGCATCATCAGCAATGAACCAGACTTGGACGATTGGGACCAGATAATCCAGTCATTTCCCGGCGCCGACACACACCTCTCCGCAGCCCTCATCATACACGCACCTCAGCTGGGCACATCCACCAACAAACAGATTGCCAGCAGTAGAGTACCGGGAGGTGGTGTAAAAGAACGCCGCCGCCTGGGCCTCGGCTTCCAACGGCAGCACATGGCCTACCGTATCTTCTCCAACCGTCCCTCCGAAAGCAACAGATCCGCCGGCAACCTCATCCCGCGTATCCTGGCCGTACCGCGATCCTAATCGTCACGACCTCATGAGCCCGCCGCAGCAACTCCGCCACCTCCGCCGCCAACTGCGCCTCTTTCTCTTTCATACGCTTATAACTCATCGCCTTGTGCCTGGATGCGTTGGCCCTGACCTTGGTGCCGTCCAGCGCCACATGACCCAACTTCACCAGCCCCACCCGCTGGCAAAACGCCAGCACCTGCAGGAATAACCCCGACAGCGCACCCAGGTGGTCCTTGCGGAAGTCGGAGATGGTGCGAAAGTCCGGGGTGTTGTTCGCCGCCAGCACCCGAAAGGCAATGTCCTCGTGGAGCCGCTGGGCAATGCGCCGTGATGACGCCACCCCGACGCAGTAGCCGTAGAGCAGCACCTTGACCATCATCCGAGGATGGTAAGGCGGGCCACCCCGCCTTTCTCCCTCGTAGCGGGCGGTGATTGACGACAGGTCCAGTTGGTCCACCACATCGGAGATGAAGTAGGCCAGATGATCGTCAGGCAGCCACTCCTGCAGGGCCGCCGGCAGCAACAACTGCTGATCGGGATCGTAGGGAAGGTAGGTCTTGCTCATTGCCGGCTCCGTTGATCTGATGCTCGCCCCATCATACCCTCAACACCTCGGCAACCGCTTTTCTCGGACAGGCTGCTAGTATTACAACGACGGTTGGCATGGTAGGATGGTGAGGTACTGGGGAAGACTTGAGCAGGTGAGGCAGGGAAATGGATGCGGCGGCTTTCGAGCAGGTGGACGGGGCCTTTCAGGTTTTTCACGCTTACTTCGCTGCGCGGTTTGGGCGCCGGGAGACGCGGGACCACAGCCGCCATTATCTCCAGGCCCTGCTGGTGCAGTCCGGGGAGCGGCGCAACGCCGAGAACCTGTCGGAGACGGTTCCGGCATCAGCCAGGGTGATGCAGCGGTTTCTCGCTGAATCTCCCTGGGATGACGACCCAGTCATAGGACGCCTTCAAGAGTACCTGGGACCTCGGCTGGGACATCCGGATGCGGTGTGGGTGCTGGACGGCAGCGACTTCCCCAAGCAGGGCAGGAAGTCGGCGGGAGTGGCCCGTCAGTACTGCGGCAGGCTGGGCAAGGTGGCCAACTGCCAGGCGGGAATGTTCCTGGCCTATGTCAGCCCGTTGGGCCGGGCCCTGGTGGACAAAGGGCTGTATCTGCCGGACAGCTGGACCTCGGACAAAGACCGGTGTGAGGCGGCGGGTGTGCCGGAGGACAGGCAGGGCTACCGGTCGAAGACGGAGTTGGCGCTGAAGATGGTGGAGCGGGCCTTGGAGCGGGGAAATCTGAGGGCCGGCTGGGTTGCGGGGGACGACGCCTTCGGGATGTCGCCGTCATTCCGTGAGGGACTGGCGGCGCTGGGGATGCGCTACGTGCTGGACGTTCCCGGCGGCACCACGGTCTGGCCGCTGGAGCCAGCCTGGACCAGTCCGGAGCATCAGGGGATCGGGCGTCCCCGCAAACCCAGGCTGGTGGGCGGGCAGCGGCGCACCATGGAGCAGCGCAGTTATGAATTGCCGGAGGAGGCCTGGCGGGAGATCACGGTGGCCGAGGGAAGCCAGGGCCCCCGCAGCTACCGGTTCAGTGCCCAGAGGGTGCGTCCAACCAGCAGGCGTAAGCCCGGCGAAATCCACTGGGCCGTCTACCGCCGGAATCTGGACGGCAGCGAGCCCCGCTACTACCTGTCCAACGCCCCAGAGGACACTTCCCTGGAGACCCTGGCCTACGTGGGAGGGTCGCGGTGGCGCATTGAAACCGAGTTCGAGACTGAAAAAAGCGACGTGGGGCTGGATGAGTACGAGACCCGCACCTGGGCGGGCTGGCATCATCACGTGGCCCTGTGCCTGCTGGGCGGAGCGTTTCTCCTGAGTCTGCAACAGGCTTGGGGGGAAAAAGATGCCCCGGATCACGAGACCGCAGGTCTACCGGGTGGTGCGAGAGATGCTGCCCCGGGAACGGTTCGGGCCGGATGAGTTGATGCGGTGGCTGGAGCAGACCCAAGAATGCAACGAACGGGCCAGACGCTCCCATGCCAAGCGGCGCGCCGCCCTTCGCGCGTCCCCGCACATCCCTCCTTGAACCGTCGTTGTAATACTAGCAGGATTTGAAATGGGGTGGTTGAATGCGGGGTGTGCAGTATTCAGGCGTCGTAATATCACACGCTGGCGTCTGCGATCCGGGGTCTGAGGTCTGGTGGACGCTGGTCTCAGGCCGATTTAGGAGCTTTCCAGCATGGTGAGCCGGTTCAGGACAGACTGATCCGCGGCTCACGCTGTGGCCGCCGTCAGTTTGGCCAGCGGGACCAGGTTGTAGCCGGTGATAGTCATTCCCACCCACAAGCGGTTGCGGGCCAGCCCGCGGTACCGCAGTTTCCGTCCGCCACCCACGTCTTCACCCAGCCGAGACCTCTTCAATTCGCTTCCGTGCCCGCTGACTGAACCGGTACCATCGTGGCGCGTGGTGCGTCTGTCGATGGCCGAGCGCTGCTTCTGGGCCACATGGGGCGTACCTTCAGGTTCCGGCATGCTCTGACGAAGCCCCTGGTATCGTAGCCCCGGTCAGCACCACGGTAATGCGTCGGGTGCCGGGCGTGACGCCAACATCTCCACGCCGCGTCCCGTTCCCCGGCGCCATCGGCGGCGTGAGTCGCACGTCCACCACCAAGCCTTCCCGATTGTCCATCAACACGTGGGCGCCGAAACACAGCCGCGCTTCCTTGCCTTTACCCTTCCTCGCCAGCCGAGCCTCGGGGTCGGTGGTGGACCGGTGGGTCTCATTGCGCCGCCGCTCACCCCCGAAAGTCCACTTCCCGATTGCGACCGCCGCCGCCGTCCCCCAAGGCTGCACTCGACGGTGGGTCTTCGTCCCGGGGACGGAAACTCTTCAGCGATGCCCAGGCTTCCAGCAGCGTCCCGTCTACGCTGAAATGATCCTCCGAGAAATGATCCTCCGACAGCAATCGTTGCTCACGAGCCTGCTCCACTATCTGCAGCAGAAACTCCTGGGCCACGTCGGCGTCCAACAGCCGTTGCCGGTTCTTGGCGAACACCGAGTGGTCGAAACTGTGGTCCATGATGTTCAGGCCCAGAAACCACTTGAACAGCAGGTCCTACTCCAGCCTTTCACAGAACTGCCGCTCACTGCGCCCTTGAATGCAGGGTAGGGAATAGCGCCATCAGCAGGCCGCTTTGAGCAGGTGCTCCGGCGGTATCGAGGCGCGACCGTTTTGGGCATACATCCGGGCAAAGGTGGGCGAAAGCTGGGCCAGGGCCCGAGCCACCTTTGGTTTGATACGACGAATGGGATGACCTTGGGGAATCAGATCGTCCGTCGTCACCGCCGTCAGCATCTCAACCTGTCGCGCCGCGTTGCCTCGCATGAGGAACCTCCACAGTCCTGGTACCCGGCATCCTACCATCACCTCGCTAACCCGCCCCGTTTTTCAACACCCTGCTAAGGATGTTGATGTGCCTTGGAGCCGAAAGCCGTTTGGTCCTCGACCGATACGGCGTAGCCGCGGTCTTCCCACTGTGACCGTTGGTCATGGATCAGCTCGGTGTGGAGCATGAGCCACTGGGCATGGTCGAATTCGGTAGGGGTACTGGTCCATCCGTGGTAATGGGCCTTGAACCAGACGGCCCACTCGCAGGAGTTCTCGCCGGTCAGCAGCCTGGGCAGCCAGGTGGCGCAGAGGTAGGGGTGTTCGCGGCGCTGGGCCAAGGTCTGTTCACTGGAAGTGGGTGGTGTCGGTGCTCTTTGGTCCAGTTTATTTCGGTGTTCGTTGGGCCCACAAGGGGCGCCTGTCATCAAATGGTGAACCAGAGTACGATGGTGGAGGAATGCCGTCGAGAGGTGCGGCTAACGGCGCGTGGACGGGAGGTTTTGTCCTATTTGGTGCTGTCCTGGGAAACGAGGTACATTGCCGAGGGGTTGGGCGTGAGCTGGTACACGGCCAGGAACCACATCGAGAACCCGCGGACGAAGCTGGGCGCGTCCAGCCGTCTGGAGGCAGTCATGGTCGCCATGAGGCTTGGGATACTGCCGCCAGAATAATTCCGGGATTGCGTTGGGTTCCTTTGTTCTCAGGCGACGGGTGTTCCCAAACGTGCTGACCAATCAAGATCGACTATTTGAGGCTGAACAACATAGGAGGAAGCTGATGGCGGAGCGGATCCTGACGATAGACTGCCAGGTGCATGCCTACGAGCGGAACAAGCCCGAACGCCCGTGGGTCGGGTTTCTGACCGGGCCGGACGAAGTTACGGGGGACGACATGATCGCGGCAATGGACGCGGTGGGCGTGGACGGCGCGCTGCTGATCTCGCCGTTCGCGCTGTACGCATACGACGCCAGCTATGCGCTGGAGGTGTACGCGCAGCACCCGACCAAGTTCGGGCTGATCCGGCCGTTTGATCCCAACTCAGAGACGATTGACGCCGACGTGGAGGAATGGACGTCCACGCCGGGCGTGGTGGGCGCGCGCATCATGCTGGCGAACTCGGAGTACGAGGCGGACCACCCGGGGCTGAACGGCATCCTGGCGGCCGGCGGGCGTGCCGGCGTGCCGGTGAACATCATGGCGGCGGGCAAGCTGCCGTTGCTGCGGGAGCTGGCGCAGCGCAACGCCGACACGCAGATCGTGATTGACCACGTGGGGTTAGCGCAGCCCTTCAACCCGCCGCCGCCGGCGGAACCCTTCGCCGACCTGGGCAACGTGCTGTCGCTGGCGGCGCTGGACAATGTGGCGATCAAGATCTCCGGCGCCGGCACTCTGTCGCACGCGGGGTTCCCGTATCCGGACATCTGGGAGCCGCTGTCTCGCATCTTCGACGCGTACGGGCTGGAGCGGTGCCTGTGGGGGACGGACTGGACGCGGGCGGTGGAACTGCTGACGTACGAGCAGGGCGTGGAGACGTTCCGGCTGACGGACACGCTGTCGGACTCTGACCGGGAGACGCTGATGGGCGGAGCGCTGGCGAACATCTACAAGTGGTCGCCGGCGGTGGCGGAATAGGGCGCGTCCTTCGATCCGCCGGGAGCGGACCTCCCGCGAGCACAAGACGATCCTGAGACCCGCCGGAGGCGGACTTTCGGCAGGCTCACGATGAGCGGGGGTTGGGAATTGCGATGTAGGGGCGAATAACAATTCGCCCCTACGAATTCGGCCAGGTGCCCATTGCCACGCCAATCGCGAACGGGGAGTATTGTCAAGGGCGGCGGTAAAGTGGGCCACGTGGGCGGCTCGAACGTCGACATTGCGGCTGTCGGCGTTCAGGAAAACTGTACCGTCCACCGTCATCTATGAGGTTGATCAGCAGCCCGTGGAGGGTGAGATGGATGTACCCAGTGGAGATGTACGCGCGCGTTCGCCGGGCCTGCCTGGCGGAGGGGATGAACGGTCGGGAAACCTCCCGGGTGTTCGGACTGCACCGGGACACGGTACGCAAGATGCTGACCTATGCGGGCCGGCTACCGGTGCCCCAAATTTGAGCCGTACACCGGCGTGATCCACGCCATCCTGGAAGCTGATGCCGGCTTCGGTTGCCGCGCCAATCAGGGCGGCAACTTGGTGTGAGTTCTGGTTCGCTTTACGTCAGCGTATCTGCCGATACCACCCTTTCCAAAACCCGCTTTCCGGCTGGATTTCTAGACCGACGGCAGCGAGTCCCGCTAGAGGGTAAGCCTTTTCCGCCGGTGTGTACGAGTAGGGGACAGGTTTCAAACCTGCCCCCTATTCAATTACCCATCAAGGCCAGGTTGGGCCATCTGCCCGACCAATGGCTTCTGCGCTAACGGTTAGCTTGGTACAAGGGACCCCGGAGAACCTGGCCGGGTAGCGCTCCGGTGTGCTCTCCGCCTTCCAGCAGCACCTCGCCGTTGACAATCACATAATCTATCCCCACGGCAGGCTGCTTTACGTGCATCTCTCCGCCCGGGAAGTCATACACTGGCTCGCGCGGCGCGTGGTCGATGGTGTCTGGGTCGAAGGAGGGTATGTTCGGCAACCGTACCGGTTAGCCAAGGAACCCCCGGTCGTGGAGGTCGTGCATCAGGGCGGTCTTCCCGGTCAAGCGGTAGACGGCGTCTTCCACGGACATAATCTGCTTTTCCCGAACCCAGTAGCTTAGCAAGTGGGTACTGTAGTCGGTACGGTCTCCCTTTTCCGGCCGAGCGCCGCCATCGGTGGTCCCGATAACAGTATACGGCGACCCCAGTATCTGACGCTGGGCTTCAGGATCGCTATTCCGGTCGATTACCTGGAAACTAGTCCGCAGATCATCGTCCAGAACCAGGTCCAGGAAAGCGTCCATAACCCCTTTCCCTTGCTCCTGGGCTATTTGCTCGACGCTCTTGCCACTGTACTTCCGGTTCCGCTCGTAGTGCCCCATGTATACCTGAACCAGGTCCCAGCGCCGGTTGAAGCTCATCACCCTGGTACCGCGGGCGGCCTGGTAAGAGTGGGTGCCTTCGGTCTCCACCGCCTCAATGCTTAGCGTCCGGCGAACCTCGGGGTCACGGAAGGACTGCATCCTCTCTGTAACCGGCAGGGCCATCACTGGGTCCCAAGTCGTCATGCCCTGGAACACGGTAGTAGGGCTGATCATGTCCTCGTCTTCCAGGCCCCCCAGCCCTGCTCTCAAGTCGAAGATCGGCCCGGCGGTGCCGGATAAGCACGAGGCGTAAGCCCTGGCCCCCGTCTTGAAGGCCTCTTCAACCATTTGTAGGTGCTCTTTCCACTCGTCGGGTTTGTTCAACTCTTGGCCTAATATGTTGTAAATCGCGGGGCGGCCGGTCCTGCGGGATAGCTCCTGAGCAATGAGCGCCGGGGTTCGGAACCCGCCGGGGCCCCCGCCACTGACCTGAAAGACACCAGTGCCGAGCTCGCCCAACACGCTGCCTACTGCGTATCGCTCGTCATCGGTGGCAACTGAGGATGGCACGCTGACCCCGAATTCTCTATCCCCTGGTCGGCGAAGTTGCCAATGCTGAACCCTAAAGCGCCAGCTAGTATCCCCTCGCGGACCTGGCGTCTCATGGCCTCAATTTCCTCCGGGGTGGCTTCCCGTGTCTGGGCGGCCTCGCCCATAACGTAGCGCCTGACTCCGGAATGGCCGACGAAGGCGCCTACATTGATGCCACGCCGCCGGCCGATGGCATCAAGGTACTGTGGAATGGATTCCCAGGCGAAATCGACCCCCTTCCGCTGCACACTCAGCGGGATGCCCTCCATCTTGTCGAACATGTCCAGGTACCAGTCCCCATCTCCCGGTCGTGTCGGGGCGATCACAGCGCCGCACTGACCCACGATGATCGAGGTGCTACCGTTTAGCGACGTAGAAGTGACAATGGGATCCCACATGCACTGGGAGTCAAAATGGGTGTGATGGTCGATGAACCCAGGGGCCACTACCCGACCATCGGCGTTGATAGTGTGAGTGGCGGGCTCACTGAATTTGCCCACCCCCACGATTTTGCCATTTGTTACCGCCACGTCCGCGTAGAATGAGGGTCCACCAGAGCCATCAACCACGCGCCCATTCTTTATGAGTAGATCATATGCCATTACGCTTCCCTCCCTCTGCCCCGATGAGTCGGAGCGTGAAATCAAGGTAACAAAATACGGTTAGCGGGTCAATTTTCCGGCAGGTCAATCGTATTAGATATTTTATGTCCATGATTTCGACGAAAGTAAGCGTAAAATTATCAAAACATGGATGTTTCCGCAACAGAATTGGAGGATTCGGATGCTGGATTCCGGCTTGCGCCGGATTGACGCTGGCAATGCAATCCAAATGCGATTGCCCTGATTTTCGGGCTTGTCGCCTTGACAAGAGACCCGCTAACTAAGGTCGGGCCATTTATGCCCGGCGAGCCACTCCGGCCCTGACGTTGGCTTGATACAAGGGGCCCCGTAGGACCTGGCCGGGTAGTGCGCTGACGTACTCCCACCTTCCAGCAACGCCTCACCCAGCACGCCATACGCCGTCAAAAGAAAATAACCGCTGACTATCACATATCTAGTCCCCGCGGCCGGTCTGCTAGTCACGTGCAATCTCGCTGTCAGGAAGTCATACGCGGCCCGCGCGTGCGGCTGTGGATCGATGGTCGGTTCGAAGTGGGAACAGTTTCAGGATGCGGTTAGACAGCAGTTCGATTTCGCCTGCTATTCTTCACACCACACCAGAGTAACCAGGAACACCAGGCTGGCCGCCGAATACACGATATTGGTCTCGTCGCAGTACGATACAAATCAGCCCGCCACCTATCCGGCAAGTCGCCCCAGGAACGGGACTTCGGCCAAGGCAAGCTCTCTACCCGAGCGGGAGAGGCATTCGCATCCATCAGCACGGGACCTACCATACATTTGCCGGCCCCGTGGACGGCACCGCCTCTGCTGAGGCGCTGTATTGGGTGATACCGGTCGCGCCGATAGACAGGTTGGCTTCGGCCGATCGGCGCCGCATAAAGTGCAGCGGTTTTTTCGATTAAAGGCGGTGGCCGCCCAACTTACGCCCACAGCACAGACAGGACTTCCTCAACCATGCTTTCCTTGCCCCTCAACGATTCGTGATATTTCGTAGGGGTTCATCGGGTGTAGTTACACCTTACAGTGGTACTCGACTTTGTACAAAACCTAGACAAATTATAAGGACAGGGCAATCTCGACCACATCATCCCAAAGGGTCAAATATGCCCACCTTGCCCGAAGTCATTGTAACCCTGCTGCTGCCCTTTGAGCATCTGTTTGACCCCAGGACCTGGCGTAAAGCCCGACTCTTGGCCATGGGAGCGACCCTGTCTCCCGGCAAACGCACCGTGTCCTCCGCCCTCAACATCCTGGGGATTGGGCAGCACGGCGACTTCGCCATCTATCACCACGTGCTCAACCGGGCCCAATGGTCGCCACTGCAACTGATGTCCCGCGTCAAGCATATTTGCCGGTTCCTGTTGCCTCTTTGAGAAATGTTACCGAAACTTTAGCATCTGGGATCCGCCCCAACCAGCGCTAATTCCGGCGTTGCAGGGAGTCCTGCCATGGGCTCACCAGCCGCGGCGTAGACCAGCTCTTTGCTCATGATGCCGCGCCACTGCTGCACTCTACGTTGCAACGTGCGCAAGTGAGTGTCGCTGAAACGGTCGGGATAGCCGGACTTCAGCCGGTTCAGCAGGGCGATGGCCTTGGCGTCAGGGGCTTCCTGCAACCAGGACGGCACGTCGCACCACACTCCCTCGAACGGGTCTGGCCGAGTTCGCCAGGTGCGGGGCGGTAGCACCCGCCGTTTTCGTGAGGTATGCGCTGCATCCTGCCGCCACCAGTCGGGCAACTTGACCAGGAACTGTTTGGTAGTGTCCCGTCAATAGTGTAAAAGCGCGTCATCCCTTTGATGTGATTAGGCGCTGACGTCCAGCATGTTGGGCTCCGGCAGTGCTCGTTGCCGCGGCGTTGGGGAGGTGGGGTAGCGGCGGGCTCGGCCATTCGTCGTGTTGCTCAGGCAGCACCGCGCCACCAGGCGCCGCGCCCGATAGCGGTTGGGGAAGATGAGCCACCACGTCAGTCCGGCGCCTTATCTCCCGGTTCAGCGTTTAACCTGCGGGTTGTTGGACCACAGCTTCTGCCAGTGGCCACTGGGAAGGCCGTGAAGGCCAGGATGTCCGGCGCGGCGTCCGCCAGCAGTTCGGCAACCTGGGGAAGGGCTCCCGGAGTTGTTCCACCACTCGGTCCAATTGGCCGTGGACCTCGGCGGGAGACAGTGCTGGTAAGTGGTGCGTACCATGCGAGAAGGTCCTGGGGGCCACGCCAGGTTGGGCACGCTGTTGGCACGCTGGGTGAGCAGGTTGGCCATGAAGTGGGTGCGGCAGCGCTGCCAGCTGGCCCAGCAAGACTGCGGCGATGGCGTTCTTCAGCCCTGGTGGGCATCGGATGTCACCAGTTCCACCCGCTGAGGCCCCGAGCGGTCAGCGACCGCAGAAGGCCAGCCAGAACCGCCGTCCCAGCTGGCGCCACACGCATACCCAGGATCTCACGCGCCCTTCGGCATGACGTCGCCACCACCACGCAGACGTTTCACGATGCGGGGCCCGCCTCACGCACCTTCTGGGTCAGGCCGTCCAGCCAGACGTAGGGGTAGGGACCACCGTCCAGAGGCGACCCAGGAAACTGTCCACTTCATCCAGGTGCTCGCAGATGCGCGACACCTGGCTGCTGGATGATGCCGTCGCAACCCAGGGCTTGATCAGGTCGTCCACCCTTCGGTGGAGACTCCCTCCACGTAGCCTGCTGGATAGCCATCACCGGTATCAGCAGAGCTCTCGCTGCGCCGCCGTGGTTCCAGCAGGCTGGAAGTAGCTGCCTTCCCGCAGCTTGGGAAGTGCAATCCATGGTGCCCACCCGGGTATTCCCCAGGTTGGGTTGCGGATAGCCGTTGCGTAGTTGACCGCTCTGGGCTGCGTTCGCCGTGCTAGCGCCGATCTGGGCGGAAACCTCGGCGTCATGATGCCGTCACCAGGACCCGCAGTGCTTCCGCAGAAGTCCACGTCGTCCATACCCGCTTGCGTATAATTCCAAAGATCCATTCTTTGCTTGACCACCGTCGTTCT